CAAACAGTACATCACTATTGCAGTGACCTTTTGCTATATGCGCAGGCAGGAAAGAGAAGGTTATCTGATCTCATGGGAAATCCCAATGAAGTCACTGTAATTTCCCTAAAAAACACAACTTAGAAGAAAACTGGGAAAATGCATTTCTGATTGAATTTTTAGAATGGTAGGTGGGATTTATGTAAATATGCTCTCTGTAAAGAGATGTACAAAAAAAGAGAGAAAAAAATACAATTGGTGGCTTTCTGTTGGGGACTGCTTGATTTCTATCAGGTGTATTTTAGAAGGCAAGCATTTAAAGTTCTGTAATTTCCAGCAAATGATCAGTATTATGCTTTACTTATTAGACTTCAGTGAATGAAATTCAAATTGCTTATCATTGCTTAATTCATTTTGCACAATCAATGCATAAGCATTTGAATAACCTTTTCCATAGTTAACAAAACAGATGATAAAGCATTTTGGTCCTTGCATTTTGGGCATAAAGCTGTAATTTTGAAAAGTTAAATGATTAACACACAGTGGGGAAAATAATTATAAACATTATGCTTTGGGGCTATTTCTCTGCTAAAGGAACAGGCCAACTTTGCCGCATTGAGGGGCCAATGGGTGAGGCCATATATTGTAAAATCTTGGATGAAAACCTTCTTCCCTCAGCCAGAACACTGAAGATGGGTTGTGGATGGATCTTCCAGCATGACAATGACCCAGAACATACCGCCAAGACAACAAAGAGGTGGCTCAAAAAAAGCACATTAACCGCTTCCTGACTGCACTATAGCAGAAATACTGCTACAGGGTGGCACGGGTGCGCAAAATCATATATATATATATATATATATATATATATGTGATATTGCATTTCTGGGTAGGGGGCACGCGGCCGTCAATCACTAGGTCCCTCCCGGTGATTGCCAAGCATCTCCGACAGGGAGGAGAACTGTTTGTAAACAAAACAGTTCTCCTCCCTGTCAGCTCAAGCACGCTTCTTTCGATGGCACAGCCATTCAAAGCAGTGTGCTTACAGTGAAGCACATGGACACAGCACATAGTGAAACAGCACACAGTTAACCCTTTGATCACCCCTCATGTTAACCCCTTCCTGTTCAGTGCCATTAGTACAGTGTCAGTGCTTTTTTTTTTTTTTTTGATCACTGTATTGGTGTCACTGGGGATGTCAGTGACACCAAGTCAGTTCCCCCCAGTGTCAGAATTCTCGCTGCAGTCCCGCTATAAGTCACTGATCGCTGCCATTACTAGTTAACCCCCCCCCCCCCCCAAAAAAAAAAACAAATATATACCGCCATTTGTAAATGCTATAACTTTCATGTAAACCAATTAATTTACACATATTGGGATTTTTTTTTAGCAAGGACATGTAGCAGAATACATTTTGGCCTAAATTTATGACGAAATTTGATTTTTTTATTTTTTTTTACTGGACATGTTTAATAGCAAAAAGTCAAAAATATAGTTTTTTTTTCAAAATTGTTGGCCTTTTTTTTTTTTTAATAGCGCAAAAAATAAACTCACAGGTGATCGAATACCACCAAAAGAAAGCTCAATTTGTGGGAAAAAAAGGACATAAATTTAATTTGGGTGCAGCGTTGCATGACCGCGCAATTGTCAGTTAAAATAACGCAGCACCGTAACGCAAAAAATCCTCTGAAGAGCAAGTGGTTTAGGTCATATAGTGGCCTAGCCAGTCTCCAGATCTTAATCCTATAGAAAATTTATGGAGGGAGCTGGAAATTCGAGTTGCCAAGCAACAGCCAAGAAACCTTAAGGATTTAAAGACCTGTAAAGAAGAGTGGACCAAAATCCCTTCTGAGATGTGTGCAAACCTGGGAACCAACTACAAGAAACGTCTTACCTCTGTGCTTGCCAACAAGGGTTTCTACACCAAGTACCAAGTCATGTTTTGCTTGAGGATCAAATACTTATTTTACTCACTGAATTGCAACTCAATTTATAGCATTTGTATCGTGTTTTTTTCTGGATTTTTAGTTGACTGTCTCTTTCAAAATACACCTATGATAAAAATTATAGACCCTTCATGTCTTTGTAAGTGGGAAAACTTACAAACTCTGCAGGGGATCAAATAATTATTTTTGCCACTGTAGCATGGTACATACATGAATCCATATACAATAATTGTTAATGTCTGGACTTGGTGATAACAGAACAGATTATCTGATTCCAGCATCAAGTGGCCATCTGGAAAGTTTTATCCTAGGGGTAAATGATTATTTTTTTGCCCATCCACTCTATTGCACAATTCAGTGTGGAATAAATCCAGACTTAGAATCCAGAATTAGAAGCTGCAGTTGCTACAACAAATGCTAAGTGGGTCGTACTGTACTCAGGGTAATATACAACAAGCTGATCTTTTTAATTTGAAACCATAAAATTACTTAACATGTCATTTCTTTATACAGTCCAACTATAGCCATTTATTTTTTTTTTTTTGCATAGAGTGATATCAGGAATTCTGCAGGTCCCTACTAGGAGATTTCCCCTTATTACTCCTTTCACATTAGGAAAACAGAAAGCAGGGGAAAAAAAGCTCTCTAATAGTGTCAGTAAAGAAATAAATGCATGTTTTTAACTCTCTTACCCTACAAAAACAAGCTTACCAAGATTTATCAATGCGTGACACTTGTTAAAGCCAAATAAAAGCTTGTTTAAACTGCCTCCTGCCCACTGTATAGGGAAATAACGGACGGACGGGAGCTCTCTTGTTCTGGAAGGATGTCATATGAAGTCCTCCCACTCTACATGCGCATGCATGTCCCCGAGGGTGCGCGGCACGGCAATCAGTGGTGCGCTGTGTCCCATCGCAGCTCATTACATGTAAACAGGAAATGTCAGTTATCAGTAGTTCTCTCCTCACACTGACAGCGCTTGAGGAGAGGAGAGCCTGTAAGCGGCATTCCTCAAAGGGGACATCTACACTAATAATCATGGCACTGATCATCAGTGTGCTGATGATCAGTGCAGTCCCATCAGTGCTGCCTTTCAATGCCAATCATTGCTGCTGATCAGTGCCCATCAGAGCTGCCTGTCAGTGCCTCCTCATCAGTGCAGTCTATCAGAACCCATCAGTGCCAGTCATTGCCTTCTATCAGTGTCCATCAGTGTTGACTTTCAGTGCCCATCAGTTAGTGCTGCCTATCCGTGCAGCCTCATCAGCACACATCAATGGAGAAAAATTACTTATTTACAAAATTTTGTAACAAACTAAGAAAAACTTTTTTTTTTTTTCAAAATGTTGTGTTTTTTAGTTTAGCAAAAAATAAAAAAACCCAGTGGCTATTAAATACCACCAAAAGAAAGCTCTATTTCTCTAAAAAAAAATGATAGAAATTTGGTTTGGGTACAGTGTTGCATGACCGCGCAAATTGTCAAAGTGCAACAGTGCTGAAAGCTGCAAATTGGCCAGGAAGGGGGTTAAAGTGCCCAGTAGTCAAGTGGTTAAAGCTACAGCCCACATATCTATTAATATATATGAATAGATATGTGATCTGTACTGCTGCCAGGATCAAAGAAAATGCCTGGTACGTCAGTGCGGGAGACACTGCATCCATGTCGGATACACACTGTGGTTATAGTTCTGCAGGAGTGAAGACTTGCCAGACAGGTATGTATACTTGCTGTCTCTACTTTATTCTTTCTGATGTAGTAGCAGGGTTGATCTAGTTTGCTTTTAATGTAATCCTGACACACACACACAGTGCTCAGCATAAATGAGTACATTCCTTTTGAAAAGTAAGATTTTAATCAATTTCTCAACGAACACAAGAACACTTTGCAAAATTTAGACAAAACTGAGTTTTATAGAACATTTGTTTAGCTCATTACCTGAAAGTAAGGATAATTATATAACTTAGATGACAAAATCTTCAGTTTTACTCAAATTAGTTGATGCAGAAATGAGTACAATCCACAACAAAAACTACTACATCTAGTATTTTGTATGACCTCCATGATTTGTAAGGACAAGACTAAGTCTTCTACACATGGACTGAACAAGTTGGCGACATATTGCAACATCTATCTTTTTCCATTCTTCAAGAACGACCTCTTTTAGAGCCTGGATGCTGGATGGAGAGTGATGCTCAACTTGTCTTCAGAATTCCTCATAGGTGTTCGATTGGGTTTAGATTAGGAGACCTACTTGGCCACTGAATCACTTTCACCCTGTTCTTCTTTAGAAATGTAACAGTGGCCTTAGATGTGTTTTGGATCATTGTCATGTTGGAAAAGTGCACAATGACCAAGCGCACAGAGTGATGGTGGCATCTTCTCTTTCAATATAGAGCAGTACATCTGTGAATTCATGATACAATCAATGAAATGCAACTCCCAGACACCAGCAGCACACATGCAGCCCCACAGAAGGGCACTGCCACCACCATGTTTCACAGTAGGCACCATGCATTTTTCTTTGTACTCCTAACCTTTGCCACATCATACAGTTTTGAAGCCATCAGTTCCAAAAACATTTATCTTGGTCTCATCACTCCAGACTACAGCATCCCAGTAGTCTTTCAGCATGGGCCCTGGCAAATTCTAGGTGGGCTTTTTTGTTAATGGGCTTTAGGAGAGCCTTCCTTCGTGGACGGCACCCATGCATGCCATTCTGCAGTGTACGTCATATTGTGTCACAGGAAACAATCACTCCAGTTTGGCTTTCTACTTCTTTAGCTAACTGCAGTGAACTTGCATGGCGACTTTCTTCAACCCTTCTCATCAGAAGATGCTCCTGTCGAGGTGTTAATTTCCGTGGATGGTCTGGAGTTCTCTGTGAGATGGTTGCAGTTCCATCTTTTTTAAATTTTTTATAGTACAGTATTCTGACTGATAAGTAAAGCTTTGCTGATCTTCTTGTAGCATTCACCTTTTTGTGTAAAGAAATTATTTTCTCTCAGGCCGTGTGACATTTCTCTTTCATGTAGTGCCATTGCTGACAGCATGAAATGGGAAGGGGTTTTCTTTGTTAACCTCCCTGGAGGTATTCCCAAGTGTAGCTCGAGGTAAAGTTTCAGCACCACAAGTGGTAACCCCCGAGCTACACTCGGGAATACCCTGCAGTGTTGCTCCGGGATCCCTTCTGCACTTACCTTGTCCTTCATTCCCGCGATGTCCCCCCTGCAGCGTCCCCGGCCATCTCCTCTGGCCGATGCCGGCATTTGTCTTCCGAGTTCCGCTCCCTGCGACGTCGAGACGTGCAGGGGACAGAGCAAGCAGGAAATTTAAAAATGTCAAAAAGTGACATTTACTAAATACACTAAAATCTCACAGTATAGCATTATTGTTTCAAACCATTTCACATACATTTTGTCCCGAGTGCTTTGTCCTGTGCCCTGCCTGCATTTTTACTGTTCTTTCTGTCTGGAAACTGAAAAATGTCCATGGCATCCAAAAAGCGTCCCTTTAGGTCAAACGCAGTTTTAGACCAGCTAGAGAACGGCGATAGTAAATTAGAACCACTTGCAGCATTGAGTGATGATTTGTGGGGAAATTCGTCATCAGATACTAAAAACGATTTTGCGACTAAGATCAGTGCAAACTTGGCGCTATATTTCAAATGTCAGTGTTTTTGGTTTCATTACATTATTGAATTAAATTTATTATATTATTTTTTATGATTATTAATTAAATTATAATTGATGATTTTGTGTTTCAAATTTTATCATACCCGGACTGTTTACTAGACTCTTGTTCGGACAGATTTCAGTGAATTATTCCTAAAAAATTACAGGCCTGCAATAAAAAAAAAAAAAACAACATATTTCCATGCAAAAAAAATGAGCACAGAAATACTGACATAATCAGACCGCTAGGGAGGCTACGTGATGCCCTTTTATAATCAACTGTCAGCTGGGCACCGGTTTAATGAAGAATTACACTCGCCTGTCAGTGCCACCAATCAGTGCCCATTACCTGTAGTTTAATTCTCATTAATTAGGATTTTGTTGTCTAAAGTTTAGTTTTGCTCCTAAGACTTTCATTGGGGTGTATTTATTTTTCAACATGGTCTTGAATGAATGTGTTAAGAAAGATACTTGCAAATCTTGTCTGCAATCCATGGCCCACATTTGTGGGAGTATTTTGTAGTAGTGTCCCATAGAAAATGTTGATTCTGAAAGGAAAGAAAGGTTTTCTGACATATCTGTTGTGGCATACTCATTTATGCTGAGAACTGTACTTATACAGTATATACACACAGCATACTGTGTGCCTATTAACATTTAGCAGCAGAGGGAAATGGTGCCATAGTGTTTAGTGTTTTTTTCTTTTTTTTTTTAAACACTTTTCAGCGACCTCAGCTTATGTGAGCATGGCTTTTCCAAACCCAGTTACACTTCTAAATACAGCTTCATGTTTGTACTTTATTTTACACATTATCTTGTTGATCGTCTGCATCAATTTGATATAATTGGGTATGATTTCCTCCAACACTCCAAAGACATGCTGGTAGGTTAATTGGCTCCTGTCTATATTGGCCCTAGTATGCGTATGAATGTGAGTTAGGGACCTTAGATTGTAAGTTCTTTGAGGACAGGGACTGATGTGAATGTATAACAAATATTTAAGGCACTGCATAAATTGATAGCACTATATAAGTACCTGTAATAATCATATAATTGTTTAAAGTGTATGTATACTGGAAAAATACATTTTTCATTTAATGTATCTGTTCAACAAGTGCAAAGAAATAAAAGCTAAGAAGATGGACAGGGTTTGTTGTTTTTTTTTTTTAACTTTCTGAGTGCTCTGCATCTGGGCTATCAGTTGGCAATGTTCCCTACAATCTCTGTGGTCTACAGAATACTTCCCCGTTATGAAGAAGGGAGGGTGGTGATTTGTTGTCATAACACACTCCTTATCCTAGGGTGACAACAGCACTCACTACAGTTGTCACCCAGAAACAGGAAGTGAGTTACTTGCAGGAGTACAGAGTTAAAATAAAGGGAAATAAAGCCTCTAAGGATAGGTTCACATATACACAAGCGTGGGAGGGCATGTAAATCACACACATTCCCACACCCTCTACGACAATTTTAAAAGAGCGCAGCCATGTGGGCTCTGAGTTCTGTGAATGAATAGACTACAAGTACTGACAGCCTTAATAAACTACGAGGGTGCTGGTGGGCATCCTTGTAGCTCATTGATTCTTTCTGGACTGAAGTAACTGCCTGCTTGCATCAAAAGGTATGGGGAGACAGCTACACTCACCAACTGCAGGAGGCTGACATTGCACCCATGATCTGCTGATCAGGGTCCAATGCTTTTCAGACACAGCGGATCACCGGTCAGTGGAAAGAGCCGATGACTTCAGCTCTGTCATGTGATCAGTTGTGTCCAATCACACCTGATCGCATGTAAATAAGGAAATGCTGGTTATCGGCATTTCTCTCTCCTCACGAGCTGTCACGCTGACCGCTCGTGAGGAGAGGAGAGACGGTAATCGGCATTCCTAAGAGGGGACATCTACATTAATCATCAGGGCACTGATGATCAGTGCCCTGATGATCAGTGTAGCCTCATCATTGCCACCTGTCAGTGTGCATCAATGCCACCTGTCAGTGCCCATCAATGCCACCTGTCAGTGCCTACCAGTGCAAATCAATGCCACATATAATCAAATTCAAAGCCTATCTGAGCTGCCTTTCAGTGCCACCTATCAGTGCCAGTCAGTGCCGCCTATGAGTACTGCCAATCAGTGCCACCTATCAGTGCCACATATGAGTGCGACCTTTCAGTGCCCATCATTTATGTCTGTGAATGCCCACCAGTGATGCCTGTCAATGCCTCATCAGTGCCGGCTATCAGTGCCCATCACTGCAGCCTCATTAGCGCACATCAGTGAAGTGGAAAATTACTCATTTACAAAATTCTATAACAGAAACGAAGTAAAAAAACTTTTTTTTTTTCAAAATTTTGAGTTGTTTTTGGTTTATAAAAAAACAAAAACCCAGTGGTGATTAAATACCACCAAAAGAAAGCTCTGTCTAAAAAAAAATTTCATATGGGTACAGTGTTGCATGACCGCGCAATTGTCATTCAAAGTGCGACATCGCTGAAAGCTGAAAATTGGCATGGACAGGAAGGGGGTGAAAGTACTTTAAAAAGGGGCTAAAACATTTGCACAGTACTGTAACACATGCGGTATCATATAAGAGGTTTCTTACCAGTGCCAATGACATCACAGGTCCTTCCCTTTTCTCTGGCATCGGCAGTTCTTATTGGAGTGCTGAACAGCACTCATGTAATGACATGTAGACACCATGCAGTGCAGGAATACTGAGGCCAAGTGATGACATTGTCCTATTTGGTGGGTCTAAGACAGCAAGGGCTTAGAAGTTGCTTGATGGATGCTGGCCTTTTTCTGCATTGTGGTGAAAAGGTAGTACTAAGGGGGACAAGCTGAAGATTGAAGGCATTTAAGCTAAAATATGATTTTTGTACTCACCATAAAATGGTAAGTACAAATAGCCACATGAATTCTTATACATTTGGATTTTACTGCCCCCTATAAGAGGATAGGACACGGACAACAAAAAGTGTAGGCCAGACCAGGATAACCTATCCTACTAAAAGCATGCCCCAGTTTTGTAGTAAACCAGAACCAATAGCATGTTCATAATCACATTTGGGGGAGTTGCGTGGAAGACTCCCTGTTCAAAAGTCTAAATTTAACAGTGACAGGACAAAAATAGAAATGCAAGAAACATGAACCTTAAACAGTGCAGTGTCAAATGCTGGTTCCGACCTAGCTGCAGGAAGAAGAGGATTCACCCCCCGGGGTGGAATCCCTGAAACTTGCACCAAGTAAAATATGCCTTCTGTGTATTATAGGAATCATTCACCCTAACACTCATAACCTGGGCTTCAACAATCATGCCATTAAAGCCAGTGAGCAAGAAGTAGAATTACTAATCTGTTCTGGGGACAGAAGATCCTGACAATCTGATAGCAGTCTTACCAGTTTGGGCCATTCCAGAGCAAAGAGGACCACTTGCATGCCCCCAATCTCAATCCTGTAAAGCAGGTGAAAGTTTTTTTTTGAGGAAATGAATGCATAGTCTAGGGTGTTTTGATCCCATGGAGACACCATATCATCTACTGATTCCTTTAGAGGATCCCTGTAGCTGGATACAAACCTGCCCAGTTTGTTGTTGAACCTGGATTTCCACAGCTGGAGTCCCTCAATTGCAACACAGGCCCTGGAAAACCTCTTGGTGTAGGGGCCACTCCTCCACCACCTTCAGGTGCTACCTGCTGAGGAAAATCTACCTGTCACTGGTCTATGCCTGGAATGTACATGACTGACAAGGCTGGAACATAACATTTTACCTAGGACAGTTCTAGCACTGCCTTTCTCACCACAGCAAGATTTCAGCTTCCTCCCCGATGACTGATGTATGTCTCAACTGTGGCGTTGTCCAACTGAAACCGCAAAGCATGGCTCTCCAAGCAGGAGGGTCCAACACTGCAGGAACAGCAAAATAAGTCTGAGGCTCATGAATGTTGATCAGAAGACAAGATCCCTTTGTTGACTTAGCTCTCTGCATTGACAAGTTCAACTCGATAGAAAAAAGGGCGATTGTCTATGATGAAGATCTTCCAGAAGACAGGGAGAAAGGATTTCCCCGACTCCAGAGCCAGACACCTGAGCCACAAAAAGCAGGGATCCTCAGCATCAACCGAGATAGTTTGTCCAGAGACCAGATCAACTTGTCCTGTGATGACAGAATGTTGAAGATATTTGAAGTAAATATAGGCAAAACAAAGGAGGTTACCATCGACCCAATGACTCCTATGCAAAAGTATAGATTCTAATGACTTTTGGATTAAATAGTTTGAACCTGGGACCAGAGAATCTTAAATTTCTCCTGAGAAACACCCTGGCCTGACTCTGGTCCAGGGCCAGACCTAGATAATCCAAGCATCATGACCATTCCAGCAACGATTTCTTAAGGTTTTAGGATCCATCCAAACTGCTGTTTCTTATGGTTTCCTCAACTATTATCCCACAATGGGGATTTCATGAGTGCAGAAGAGAGACAATACTGGGGATAGCACCTTGCTGAATACCAAGGGTTCAGACAAGAAGCCGAAAGGAAGGGCCACAAACTGGTTGTGTAGGAGGCCCCACAGCAACAAATCATTTATGTGCTGAATAGATGGGGACATGTAAGTAAGCATCCTTCACATCCACAGAAGCCAAAAAGTCTACATGGTTAAGGGAATGTGGTGGGATTCCATTTTGCCTTTTTTGGACCTGAATGAAAACCTGAGCTTTGAAATCCAAGATGGCTCAAACGTTCCTTTAGGTTTGGGAACAGTGAACAGATTGTAGTAAAACCCCTGGAACCATTCTGCTACAGAAATTGGGAAATGACATCTTGATTCAGAAGACCTGAAAGGGTTCGATGGAGATCTGCTAGTCTTTGCAGAGATGCAGAAAGGTCAGAGGTAAGAAACTAGAGGGGTCA